GGTGAGTCAAGATGGTGGCCAAACATTACACCCGCTTTCTAAATTTTTCACTTAAACGAGCATTTTTGAGCCTGTTAAGAAAAAATGCTGCCTGAACAGAGGTTAGCCATATCTTCCGGAACGTTTTTCTTAAATAATATAGTACATGTAAAGGTGAAATTTGGCCATTTTGTTCAATTTGTAGCACCTACCGATCAGTGGCTTGCCACATTTTATGTTTCAAATTACAGTAAAACTCAACTCCGATGAATTTTAATAAGAAAAAAGAAGAAATTTGGCGGCAAATTTTAAGATATCGCTTTTTGTGTTTTTAAAGCTAGTGATTTTCCATCTTGCTAATCTTTGCAGGATTCTATACAAAACAAAGTACTTTCACTTTCCTTTCACGAAAAACATTTTTTACATTTATAGCCTCCAGAGGGCAATGCCATAACTTAATAATTAACAGGCTTGGCACGACATGGCTAGTGGCAAAAAAAAGTGTGATCCTAAGAAAGTATCCCACTTTATAGTGACTTCAAAAGTACTCAAAATTAGGCAGTGCAACTACCTTAAGAATAGTCGGCCACTTCATTTGCGCTGTAAAGTTGAGCGAGGAATACCATTGAGCATGCTTGTCATTCAAATGGATACAAAAAAGTGGTCGGGTATTTAAATATAACCATGGAACGAGCATAAACACAACCTGCAGACACGAGTAAGCGCAGGGAGTGAGCTTTCTCATACCTCAACAACTTGGTCGTATTAAATACCATAACCATGCACGTTCCAAGCTCGAATTCAAACTCAAATAACCATGGAACAGCAGGAAATGGTCATGAGATTTTTCATACTTCAACAACCCCGTCGTATTTAATACAATGACCACGCACTTTCTATGAAGTATTCCGTATTTAATATACAACTCTTACCTAAGGCTGCTGATCTGAGGAAGAAAGCGTTTGATGAACTTCGTCTTAATGTGTCGATTGTTCTTTTATGGCTTCTTTCACGGAATGCAGTGAAATCTTGGTTGACTGCAGTACATTCCTGATCCCCTCGTTCCCAGGGCTCTACCCAATGGTTAGCGTGTCGATAGCGTGACGACCAAAAGGAACAGCAACGGACCATAAGAAAAGTGATGGTGGGGGTAGGGAAAACCAAAAAACAAAAATTTCAGCAAGAGAAAATGTCCCCCTAAAACATTTATGCAAAGTGAAACCCAAAGGAAAAATTCATGCATGAACAAAGACAAATCAAGCAACTATGGCCTCAGGGGAAGTCAAGATGGCGGCCAAACATTACACCCGCTTGAAAATTTTTTACTTAACCGAGCATTTCTGAGCGTGTTAAGAAAAAATGCTGCCTGAACAGAGGTTAGCCATATCTTCCGGAACGTTTTTCTTGAAAAATATAGTACATTTAAAGGTGAAATTTGGCCATTTTGTTCAACTTGCAGCACCAAACGATCAGTGGCTTGCTACATTTTATGTTACTTTCAAATAACTCAACTCCGGAGAATTTTAAGAAAAAAGCAGAAATTTGGCGGCAAATTTTAAGATATCGCTTTTTCTGTGTTTTTAAGCTAGAGATTTTCCATCTTGCTAATCTTTGCAGGATTCTAAACAAAAGGAAGTACTTTCATTTTCCTTTCACAAAAAACATTTTTTAAATTTATAGCCCCCAGGGGGCAATGCCATAACTTAATAATTAACAGGTTTGGCACGAAATGCCTAGTGGCAAAAAAAGCGTAATCCTAAGAAAGTATCCCACTTTATAGTGACTTCAAAAGTACTCAAAATTAGGCAGTGCACTACCTTAAGAATAGTCGGCCACTTTGTTTGCGCTTTAAAGCTGAGCGAGGAATAACAATGAGCATGCTTGTCATTTAAATAGATGCAAGTAAGTGGCCGATTATTTATATAACCAGATATAACGATCAGAACGAACCATGGAACGAGTATAAACACATGATGAACACGAGCTGCAGACACGAGTAAGCGCAGGGAGTGAGCTTTCTCATATCTCAACAACTTGGTCGTATTAAATACCATAACAATGCACTTTTCAAGTTCGAGTTCAAACTCAAATAACCATGGAACAGCAGGAAGTGAGAGTTGTCATATTTCAACAACCCGGTCGTATTGAATACAATGACCACGCACTTTCTATGAAGTATTCCATATGTAATGTACAACTCTTACCTAAAGCTGCTGATCTGAGGAAGAAAGCGTTTGATGAATTTCGTCTTAATATGTTGATTGTTTTTTTATAGCTTCTTTCACAGAATGCAACGAAATCTTGGCTCGTTCCCAGGGCTCTACCGAATGGTTAGCATGTCGTTAGCGTAACGACCAAAAGGAACAGCAACGGACCATAATAAAAGTGATGGTGGGGGTAGGGAAAACCAAAAACAAAAATTTCGAGCAAGGGAAAATGTCCCCCCAAAATATTTATGCAAAGTGAAACCCAAAGAAAAAACTTCATGCATGACCGTGAAGTACTCAGCTTCGGTGTACCTCCATTTTTTAAAGTCGAGCAAAAGAAGCAAAGCTGATTTTACAGTCGGGAATATATATATTTGGTTACCAATATTTCGGAGGGATCAGGTCCTTCTTTCTTGTAACGTTGGTCCTTGCTTCCAAAACTGAATCTATGAAGTAATGTTTAATATGTTTCTTTCGGTGGAAGGAGTAAACCCTTAGCTTGAACTAGAGAAGAGAAGACAAGTTCAGAGACGGATGAATAACTCTTGAAGAATAACAAAGTGTATTAACGCCGCCCGGTTAGCGCAGTTAGAAGAGCACTGGTCTGCCGAGCGGGAGGTCGTGGCTTAAAACCTCAGCCGAACCAACAACCAGAGTCTTCAAAAAACTGCATGGTGAGATCATGCTGGTTGTTATTTAAGACCTTGTCTCAGTTAAGATGATCGCGTCGTTGGGTGGTGACGTTAAGCCGTTGGCCTTTAGTTGAAATGCTTCAGTTGCACTTTTTATTAAGTAACGGTGCTCTTAAGCGGGTCAGGCCATTTGTTTTAATGCTCACTGCAACTGAAATATACAAAGATCTTATCGAGCCACTCATTTCGATTATTGCAGCGCTGTATGGGATGGCTTGACCAAACAGTTTACTGAGAAACTTCAATTAAACTTTAATTAATTTTCTATGTTAGTCTGATGTTTTTAACTGTGTATAAATAAAATTATCATTCATTCATTCATTCATTCGGTCCAGTTGGTATGCAAAAAAGGAGCTAACTTTACTTTTGTCTGTACTATACTTCTGATTGGCTTACACAGCAAAGGTTAAGAAAACTTCATAAAGGAGTATATACATGTATATTCATCCTTACTTTCCAACCAACTTCCATATAACATAATCTCATCTCAGTCGGAATAGCACAGAAATACTATGCGGGGAACATGTAAAATTGTAAACTTTTCTTGGCCATTGTTTCCAAGTCTTATGATTGGTCAAAATCTTTTAACACAGAAAAACACCCTTTCAAAATGAAGTATAATAATAATAATAATAATTTAATAATAATTAACCTGAGATTAGGCGCAATTTTAGTAGTTCTCATGCATTCCTCTACACGTTGTCTCAGGTTAAATAATATTAAACTAGAGGTAATCATTGATTACGGATCCGTGTTCGTCCGCACTTACGGAAAAATTACGGAAACGATCGATAAAATTAATAGGGGTGGCTAATTTGCAATCGCCCGTGATAGCTGGAAAATGTCTGCCTTAGTGCCACAGGAACACCAGATTAAGATTATGACGAACGCGATAATACTTTAATTATTCTCTCCCCTTATTGGGCTTTTCAGAGATAATGAAACAAATAATGAAACAAATGGAAAATAACATGGGAAAAAATCTCAACTGGTAGGAGGCAAACCAGTTAGCTATTTTACAAGCGTGGCTGAGGATTTACAGTCGGGACTACAGAGAACAAATCCAGCTAGCGGTCAGAGCGGGACTTGAACTCGGAGCCTCTGAATTACAAGTCCAGCGGTCTAACCACTCGGCCACGCTGCCTCCTAATCTAAATACATTTATTGACATAAACATTCTATCGCTTACACGGCCTTTCTGTAGGTCTATACATTCTCTGTGTAAAAATGAAAATTATGTGGGGAAAGATTTGATTTCCACCTTACCTTAATCATTACTTAAAATTGTATTTCCAAAGCGTCGTAATTTTGATCAAAATAAATAGAAACGGGTTAACGAGTCACGTGACTAAGATGGTGCATGACAAAGACAGTATAAACACAAAGTTTTTAACTGAAACGTAAATTCCTCTTTAATCCATGATCACCCCCTCACCAACTTCAACTGAAACAATTATGATTTAATGATTTAATAAAGAAAGCACGAAATGAGCTTTGGCGGTCCACAGGCATCCCATACTAATAAAGGATTAATTTAACTGCAAAAACCGTGGACGAAGATCCTGCTAGTTGTAAACGTTGGATCTCTAGAAAAGAGATCAAATCAGCCAAAATATAAAGAACCAAGAACGAGAAGTCCAAAGACTACTGCAAAACTGATTTAAAACAACGTGTATTGTTTTTTTATAACAGTATTTCGGCTGGCCATACCAGCCTTCTTCAGGTTTACAGATGTTACTGAACTTATGTAGCAATCACAATATTATATAGATGGAGAATGTCGCAATAAAAGGGAGAGGCGGTAATGACGTACAACATAAAAACTGGAAAGGAAAAATACTAAGGATATTGATTACAATAATTCGTCACGGCGGTTTAGGCCATGAGGTTCAAGAGTCTTTGCAGTAGTCTTTGGACTTCTAGTTCTTGATCCCATACTAACTATTCCTACTTGGTGCCGTCACGCACAAACGCTCCCTGTGCCCGTGGGACCTGTGCATTTAAATTTCCGCGCATCTGTGGATCCGCGGGGAACTAGTTGTGCACATATTTGTGAGTTTAGTATAAACTGGCCTGTTTCATGCTGTTTATTCCTCTCTGCGTTAAAACGGACACTAGACACCTAGTTTGTCGCCCCACCCACCTCCCTGCAGCTATGGTACACTCTGGCGCCTTTATCTCCCACTCCTTCCCGCCTATATGTAACGCTTGTTAATGTATCTAGTGGGATTGCGATACTTGGCGATTCATAAAGTTTATATTTGCAAACTTGAAAATTCGATAAAATCGCCACTGGGGTGACAATACTATCAATACTTTAACAATACTAACAATACTTTATTCAAATACATACAAATATAAACATGATACATAATTGAAAAGGCGGACCGCGAGGAAATATACAGTTAAAATATGAGCTATTATGTCAATAAATGTTCATCCACCCTTTGAAGTCTTTTAAAAATTTTTTACCATTAATTTTCACCAGTAAAGAGACGGTTTGGTGAATTGTTCCAGTCTTTGATGATTCTCACAAAGAGGGAATACTTAAGGGAGTTAACTTTAACTGATCGGTTTTACCTAAGACCAACTGTACGCTTTACTAGGCCCACCACTTTGTTCGCCTTACTCACTATTACATCCACGTGATTCGACCACTTACTCACCTTTGCTATAGTTTGTGTCTTTCTAGTGTGTTTGTATGTTTTTGGAGCGACCTGGGCTGGTTTTGCGATCTTGTCCTGTGTCAAAAAGTCCGTTTCATATAGTGAGCTCGAGCAGTGCCGTGATCCGTGAATTTACTGTCTAGTATGACATGCGATCACCTAGCGTCAAGTTCCGTGATTCGTGGTTCTTTCGGAAAGTACACGTGAAAAGCCGATTCGAATTTAGCTGGTAATATATCTATTAATATAGTGACCCACATTGTAACATGCCAAAAAATGATCTTGTTTCTCAGGCTGGGCTGATGCGTTTCTAAGATTGTTTTAAGGCTTTACCCACACTCTTATCAACACCAAGAAAAAAACATGAACTGAAATCGGAGGAGCCCTGAGAACGGATTTCTCGGAGGTGAAATCCGTTTGCGCTTTCGATAGCAAATTCCGAAATCCGGATTTCCCAATCGAACGCAACCCTAGTATACTTATAATGGTCAAACTTCTCACGCTATAATCTTTCAAACTAAATACAATTGCTAATTTGCTTTCTAAGTGATGCAATAAAATACTTTATACAACTTTATTTTCAAAAAAAGCACTTAATTTACAAAAAAAAAAAACACCCTTAAACGAGCTTTTGGCAAAAATCACTAGCAAACTGGAGCGTCCTATAACAAAATCGCCAAATCCGGTACAAGCGGCTAGCATGAGATCACGATGTCTGTAGTGCAAAGTAGCACAAAGCACTGTTAGTAGTGTTTTAAACTGAGGGGTAAAGCGCATTGTTTATTTGTCAGAATTGACCGGCGGCCAGACCATTCCCGTGTGGTAATAAGAATTTCACTTTTAACTGCAACTGTCCAGCCTGCGATAAGTTAACTCATGAATAATATGCATCGGTTGATATGTTATTTTAGCCAAAAATCCTTTAAAAGGCCTATTTCAATTACAAAATAATCGGTCCGGCGCCCTAAAACTAGTAAGGTTTAATTCATAAGTTAATACAATATCAAAAGTAGGTTGAGTTTGATCGTCCGAGTTAACGTACTCCTGAATAGGACTGTTGTTGTTGACAGTGACTGACGTTTCGACAACCTGTGCGGTAGTCATCTTCAGAGCCAAAGTGAGTTGTATCACGTCAGTTGATGGTTATTATACTCTGGTTATTGATCTTATTGGTCAATTAGGTCGCGATGTTATTGGTCGTCTGTCAGTTAAGCCGTGATGTTATTGGCTATGAAGACTGTTAATCAGTAATTATAAAAGACTCTAACCAACTAGGTAGAATGACGTAACCTTTTAAAACCTACCTACTTTTACGAGAACGGTAAGAAAAACACAGGTAGTTTCTAGTATATTAAAACATGATTCAAAGAAGGAGAAAGTAGGCAATCATTAGTACGCGTATTTTCCAAGGATTTTTACAACAGTTTCTAATGGTGGAGTATTTACAGGGGACTGCAGGCAAGGTGGTGGCCCTAAAAACCAAGTTTTATTAAGAAAACTACAGTAATTTATCAAAGAAATTGAGGGGCTCCATGAATTGTTTGAGGCAGAAGACATTTTGTTATGAATACTTAATCTAGTGAAACGGCTAATTGTGCCGTCATAAGAAAATTGGCGGATTAAAAACTGTACATGTGAAAAAATAGACGTCTTGTTTCTGGCCAACATCTTTCAAATAAGGTACCACAATAACGGTTCAGTCAGTTGTTCAACTCAAATGTCTTCCATTTAATATTGCAAGGTCGTAACTCTTGTATCGCAGTATAATCAGACATCTTTACCCTCTATCTGTGGAATAAGGCTAACATAGTGAACCTCGTGCAGGTGACCCAGCACAAGGCGGTTGCTACCAGTAACATCAAACTCTGGGCAGACCATTACGTCATAGCGATGTGGAAGACTGCTAATCACATGGATGCACGTTCGAAAACAGTTTGCCGCACCGTGTAGAACAACGTGATCACCCCATGTACCATCTGCCGTCATACTTGTGAGGTAGGCATCCCAAGATGGATATCCATCAACAAAATGAAACAGTTCTGTCCCATCCGGCTGTAAGAAAGAAAATACTGTAGTTAATAGAGAAAAAGGTAGAGTGCTTTTGTAGAAGGTATATATTCAGGCAGCTGCGCTGTCAGCTCTCTCTAAGACGACACCATTAGAAATAATATGTCCCCCTCAGTAGTATTAAGGACACACCAGTTAGACGTCTTTTTTTGAAGTGGAATATATTAACGTCGATGAGGTCTTTATCTCCTTTGCGCGTCAAGAATCAGTGAACCGGAACCAGAACAATAAAGCTATGATCATACTATACCAGGCTTTGGTGACGACACGAAAAGCCATCCAGTATAGTGTGAACATCTATCCGATATATGACTCTCCACTTTAGAGATCGGCACGGCCTCATTCCCTTTCGTAATCAGTCTTTTCCACTTTTAACGGTCGATGCCAGCATTAGTAACCAAGCCTTTAGTCATGATAGATGTAATATATTCCCTGGATTTAGTTACAAAAAAGGCAAATAATACGTTTGTGAATAGTGCTAGAAAACGGCGTTGGAGCCAAGTTGAATTTTCGTTAAAATTGATGGAAAGGGCTAGGGTCACCTGCTATTGATGTAACAGTTACGAAAGACAGTTTGCTAGTGTATGTACTTAATTTTTTTCGGAATTTTGGCTGGTCGGTGGAGTAGTCTAGTGGTAAGGGAGAGAGATTAGGATACGAAAGGTCCGGGTTTGACCTTGAGTAGCGATTTTCTTTCTTTTTTATAGAAACACTCTCAATAACAGATCAAAAATTTTCTTGGTGTCTAAAAAATTGCAGCGACCGTTTACGGAAAAGACAGCTGCATCCGCGCGTGAAAGAAATCGCGCCAAAATCAGCGTTCTCATGTGTGAACTAAAGCCCTATCCGGTATGATTTTCGTGCCGGCGTAAAAGCTATACAGTATAGTGTGAAGACAGCTTAAGATGTCTGCAATGGAGAATGAAGGCGCCATGGTGTCTTCATGACCAAAAAAGACATAATTTGGACTAAACTATGACTTCATTCTCACAATATAAGGGCATGATCCCTACAAGTTACATAAATGGATGAACTTAACACTTCACAAAATAGCTCGTGGCGTTATCTTAATGAGATTCCACCGCATTTTATTCACGAGACAGAGATATTATTTATTCCACTTCGTACTAATGAGATTCCACTACAAAAAAGCGGTCTGACCTGTGCACCCTATACTACTCTCCTTAAAATGTAAAAAAAATTAAGAAGGGCAGAGACCAACACTTTTAGAGAGGTGGAGTAGGTTTAGGAGGTTTTAGGGAGGTGTCCGTTAAACGTGTAAGAGAGAAGGCGGGGTAGGGATGTTTACTGTTAAATTGTTTACTATTATGCGTGCGCGTATACTGCAAATATGTCCACTCTAAAAATAATAAAAAGAATAAGGTACTTACCAGCTTAGGGTTTTCCCGAAGGTGTTGAACAATAGTTCGGCGTAACTCATCATGGGAGATTTTGACTCCTTTGATTAGGTCAAGCTGTTCTGAAAGTGCAAAAAGCATGCAGTTTCCCTCTCCTTGATTGTCAGAAATTGCAAAACCTTTTTCCAACGCAGTCCTCTTCAAAGCCTGCGACAGCTCAGTTTTGCTGGACTCTATGCGAGCTTCCCGTATGATTTGTTGAAGTACAATAAAAAAGGGTAATTCGCCTGTAAACGGAAGATGAAAAAGAATTAACATAAGATAGAGGTTATTTCATGCCAGTTTAATAGGAGATGGTGCACTGGTCTGAAGCTCAAAACAGCAGACAATTTAATTAAAAATTACTGTGGTCTCCAAAGAACTAAATAACCTCACTCTACTGCAAAAAATATATTTTGGCTTTGGTTTGATTGACAAAGCAAACAAAGACATTACCTGCCATCAGTCCTGTTGCAGCATCCTTTTCAAAGTCATTCTGTGAAACGTCATCTTCTTGGTTTTTTTCAACACCTGTAAAGTTTAAAATTAGCAGTAAATTTAAATGTTTTAGCCTGTAATCAGGAAAGGGAAACAGTTAGTTTACGTCAGTTTACTTGGAGATGCACCCCAATAATTGAAAGTCCCCTGGTTCAACAGAAGAATATCACCTCACTCCGCTGCCAAAATAAATTTTGTCTTTGGTTCAACTGACAAACCAAACAATGACATTACCTGCTATCGGTTCTGTTGAAGTGTCCTTTTCACAGTCGTTCTGTGGAACGTCATCTTCTTTGGTTTTTCCAAGACCTGTAAAGTTAAAAAAGCAATCATTTACAGAAAAAAATGTCACTCTCATTTTTTGTGACAAATTATAAGCCAAAAGTTTAGCTAGTCTTTTTTGCTACGTTTTTTTATATACAACAGAACACCACCATTGCTACTGCATATGAATAGAAATCAAATGACTTTGATGTATCGCAATGTTATGGATTTTAATTTTCATATATCGCTAACTCCTTTAAGTGTAGCCAACATGTTATAAAATTATAAATAACAGTCTTAAAAATGAAATTGATCTGTAAGACAAGAAGTGTACGGAGAGCGGTGTGGAGAATGTTAATGCCACCATTAAGGTTAAAAAGGTCAACGACAATATTTCCTCAGCGATGCACATGGACCACGATACATAATATAGTAAAAATGTATTTATGCACTCGCTATTGCAGAAGCAATGGACATATACAATTTGATTTCTTACCATAGACCATCTTCCACATTCTGGCGACAAGGGCCTGGCACTGTCTCTCCCAAGAGAATCTTTCATCATAACTTCTTCGCAGTCTTTGGATTTCCTCAAGCCGCTGTGTCCTTGATTTTTGATGGATGGCTGCAATTGCTTTTGCCCATTCCTTGGGGTCATCAGAGTCGATCACATGACTCACCCATTGGAAGTTTACGCAGTGTTTTTCCATATCCGGAGTTTCCACTTACCAGAATGGGAAGACCAGCTGACATGGCCTCTAATGCTGTCAAACCAAACCCCTCAGTTCTTGATGGCATGATGGCCAGATCGACAGCACAAAACAATTCTCTCAATTTTTGTTTGTCTTTCACAAATGATTTCACAATCAGCTGGTTCTTTGAAATGCCAGTCTGGAGTAAGTTTTCTGCGACTTCATCCTGCCTTCCCTGGGATGCACCAACGAAAATCAGAATATAGGAACTGTCCTTCAGTTCAACTATGGATTTAGCGGCAATGTCGTATCCTTTAAGACTAAAGTCTTCCAAATCACCGCGACCGAAGCTCAATACTCTGAAATTTACACCATCATGTGCAGCATGTTTAATATCTGAAAACTCTGCAAAGGAACCGGGTATTAGTTGAAAGATATCTTGATGATATAAACGCAACTTGCACGAGAACGCTTCTTTTAACTTGGGTCCAACGGCTACAACGAGGTCTGCAATTTGACAAAGTTCAACTTCAGCTGTGTTCTTCTCTTCTCCCTTGGCAATGGCACTTGGATAGTTCTTATGCATCGCCAGCTTTTCAGGGTCAGTGTGAACAACCTGCACCCAATTGCACTGATGAGATTTTTTGATAATTTGCGCTTGTTTGCCAAGCTTTGCTCCATGGCCGATGACAACCTGAATGTCAAGGTCCTCTGGTGGAACGATCAACCAATCAAGAGGATCACTGAAGCCCGGAAGATGCCCTGCTTCTATAATGGAGATGTTGTAACTTTTGGCCACTCTCTTGTCTTTTTCTCCACACTCAAATTCAGGTACAAGAATGCTCACTTCTACGTATGGGTCTTTTGCCAAATGTATGGCAAGAGTCCTGTTTATTGTTGACAAACCACCCCTAGACGACCCCCATTCGTTCGCCAGGAGGGTAACTTTCAATATTAAACGCTCTGAATGACCTTGTTCAGCATCATATGAGGATGATGATGGTGGTGGTGATGATGGAGTATACACGTCCTGTACAGAAACCAAAATTGCATATTTTAAAATAGAAAGTGTACACCTGGGGTGTTTACTGCTTTGAAAGAAATTTTGCAAAACATGTTATCCAGTTAGAAGCTATAAACTTATCGTTTAACTGTAAAGCAAAGAGCTTGTTAAGAAAGACTTGAGAAACGGTTATGAATACCCACTGCTATGGCTGCAGTAGGTATTTAACAACAGAGTTGATGATATTGATTGGCAACTGTAAAGAGATTCTCAGTTCAAGGCTAGCCATTTGTCGGGCAAAGTGCTAAAATAACTTGAATAGAATTTTGAGTCATATATGGTAGCCAACTGACCTAATCAAATTACTTGATTTTAAGTACTATTGCTTGCTTCTTTTTACCCAGCGAGGGGCTTGTGGTAGGTTAAATGAAGGCCTACGTTGTACATTATTATAACCTAATAATCGCAAACACAAACTTTGTCGAAGCTTTTTAAGTATAAATAAATGACTAGCCTTTCAGTAGCATACTATCAATTTAGTAGTAATATGCCGTAAAAGTCCGAAAATACGCCCCCAGGCTTATATTTTTTCAAAGGCCCTTTTTGAGGAGCTTATATACGGAGGGAAATGGGAGGGATATTTGCGTCTCAAAATCGACAGGGCTAGATTAGAGTTGGAAAAAAAATTATGTCAGTAATTTGCACGAAGGTTTGACTGAAACTCGCCATGGGGACCTAGGTCTTTCTAAAACTCTGCCATGCGAGTACTTTGGCTATATGGATCGAAGAAATTCAAGCCAAGAGTGAAGAGTGAACTACGCAAACAGCATTACACTGTGACACTTCTTGATTGCAGTCATTTGGCACAAGCAATAGTTCTTTGGCAAATTAAAAACATTATGTGTTACTGTACCGTTTTTAATTTGTTTTATTTTGTTTTGAGGGCAATTTCAAAGTAAAAGCCCCCGCGGGGCTTATATTCGGGTGCGGCGATTTAATGGGGGGTTTTAACTACGAAATTGGGGGATTATATTTGGAGGGGCTTATACATGGAGGGGCGTATTTTCGGAATTTTACGTTAACATTCTATTTATATGTAACATGCTAACAGCACTGATAGAGATGGGATTTCAGTGCTACGGAGTACCTACCTTACTTGGTGTCTGTGAGAACCATTTTTGCTTTCCTAGGACTGTGAGTACTTCATCTGTAGGTTTCTTTTTGCAAATCAGATGAACGCCTTGTCTTACCTCAAGGAGGTGAAGACAATCTTCATGAGAACATGGAAACTGATTATGGCTTGAGCATTTTTTCCGCTGACAATACGGACAGGCGACCTGAATATGATACTGCAATCCACCTTTATAGAGATCACGTGACAAAGCTTGCAATGTTGCCTCCACAAACTCACGAACCTGCACTGCCATCTCACTTGTCTCATCCACAGAGATCTGCTGAGGGTGGTTTCGTTGCTTGATAAAGAACTTAATAAACTGCTTCTTACAAATAAGAACAAAATCATGGACAGTTTTGTTCTCAATAACAAACCACGCTCCATTTTGGTACAGGGTAGGGAGCTGAGTTGGACCAGCTTCAGAACACCAATGGACAGATCTAGAAACAAGTCGAGTGAACAGACCATGGGGAACAGAACCACTGACAAAGTAAACATAGAGGGGACAAGGGTCCAGCCTTGAGGGCGCCATGGAACAAAGGAAATCAGGTGACGCTTTGAGTTGAGATGGAACAAAATACTTTTCACCTGTCTTTGATGATGAAAATTTTGCAATCAAACCAAATTGTTCCATCAAATCCAGAATGTCTTTCCTGGCAACGCCCTCAAGAGGAAATTTGGAAAACACATGATCAAGCAGTTCCATGTTGAGAACACCGCTTTCTTCGACTTCCTTTCAGTGCTTTGCAAACTTAGGGACCTAAGACGGAATAGCAAGAGGAATGTAAAGAAATTATTTTTCGCAAGAAAGGTTTTATTCAGGATATTGCGCAAGTTAATAACATTCCGCAATGCACGGAGCTGCCCATTTTAGGTGTTACGTTTCAGGAGAATTGTAAATATAGCGAACACGTACGTGCTAAGTTGATTAAGGGAAATACTGTAAGTGTCTGTTTGTATTAAGATCTTTACGCGATGAAGTTTTCAGTCAAGGTGAAGTAGACCACCTATCTAGCGCCTTAGTTTTACCAATTTCACTTATGGTCTGTCTATTTATGGCGCTGCAGACTCAGATCTCACGGTCGTACAAGACTTTCTGGATAGATGCTTTAAAAGGAAATACACATCTAAGAGAACGGAAATTCAAGAACGTTTAGAAAAGGCAGATAAAAATCTTTTCAAGGTACGTTCAGTGGATCCCGATTGCCAGCTTAGTAACATCATTCCGAAGAAGAAAGAAACAAAGTATCAACTCGGAAACAAAAGTGCTCATCGCCCGGATATAAAGACTGATACATTTAAGAATGTTTTTGTAAACAGGCTTATTTTTAGATATAATCTTTGATTTTCTATTATTTGTGTACAGTATGTCTTATGTATTTTTAGACTCCCAACTGCTGATGTAACTTAAGATACGTCTTTTTATCTTACGAAGAATAAAGACTGATTGATTGATTGATTTGATTAATTGAATGATCACAAAAATATTCAAAATAGCTTTCTTCCAGGATCATTTTACATTTCTAAATGTTATATTAATAAGTTTTAGCAAGTTCTCTAAAAAAATAAACTACTTAACATTTTGAGTAAACATTCAAGGAAAACTTTCCTCCTTGTAATTTGCGGATTTGTGTGAGGACACATATAAAATGGAAATTACGAAAGACCGCCTGGAAAGTATAACTGTGAATATATCTCTCTGGGGGCGAAAAAAGATCATAGCCTTTTTAACAGACGCCAGATTTTAAATCTATAGAATGTTCTTTAAAGCGCCACGTAAATGCCAGAATCCTCCATTTGGTTTACTCGCCGGAAAATTCTTACGGTACAAATTTCACTTCCACAAACTATAAAAGCGCGTTCTGATTGGTCGACATAAAGAGTCGCTGGTTTCAGCACACGTATATATGTATCTTTCCACTCTTTTTTGTTGTGAGGTCTTTCCTTTAAGACTACATTTGAGGATAATTCTACAGGTCATGCAATGTACTTCCATCGCACCCCTTTAAAGGTAGATTGTGCTGATGACACACACGAAAGATAGCGTGCAATGCATGTGCGATAATCATTTTTATTTGTTACTGCACGGTTTGACAACCGTGATGTCATCCAAAATGGAAGCCGTTATAAAACATGGCAAGTTTAAAAACACGTTAAATTGTATTTCTTACCATTTTCGTAAAATCTGGAATAGTGATCAGCTGCCCGAACAAGTCTATCAGCCACTGGGTACTTAAGATGACTGTGCTACGGTGCTTGATAATTATCCCCAGGTCATGATAGAAATTCACCATGGTGGTAAACTCTTCCTCTTCATCAATGAAGCACTTCTCCTTGGCATGGGTCCGTAGCTTCGTTACACTCAGGTAATAAACTGGTTTGGAAAGCAAAGCGTTGATGACTTTCTCAAAGCTCAGCCACCTAGTTTACAAAACCAAAGAGAAAATTGATATAGCTAGCTTTAAGTATCCATGCCACGACACAGTATACCTGTCCTGACTAAAGTACAGGGCCCAGTTGTGCGAAAGGTGGATAACTGTATCCACTGGATAAATATCTGTGTGTGATCCACTTTACTTTACCTTTCTAAAACGACAATTGAAATGTACATGGTGCTTTTTGGTCAATTCGTAATAACGTTATCAAACCCTTTAGGGTAGAATATTCCTTAAGGCCAGTCAAAACTGCTTTTCATGGTGAACTTGTTTCAAACAACGAGATATTCATTTCTTATGACGTTTTCTTCTGCAATTCCGCACCTTAGTGGGAACTCATGGAATTTCGCGCCAGTGTCAAAAAATATTTGCATTCGCTTAGTTAGTTGGATTGCACCAATAACTTTGATTGCACATTATGCTGTTTGTATTAATTTATTGAGCTTTTGCCATAGTTTTCAACCCTCACCCTAACCTACAAAATGCACAGAGTCGAACAGATATACACAAGTAGACGAAATTGCAAGATACGATGCCTGGAGACTTCCCGTCGTCTTTCCCAATTTGTAGGAGACGAGATATACAAGGTTGTTCCTTTTCTGTTTATAAATTATCATATTTATATGGCACTCGATGAGACAATGAAAACGATTCAGGATATCATCTAGCAAACAAGAGCAGATTGTTTACTTTTTTCCTTGTTAGCGTATATGCTTTATCTTTTAAAAGACTTTTAAAACCGTTAGCACCGAGTGTGAATTTATTTGCAGTGTACGCGTATCGGCCAAATGCGACTGCTAAACGCAAATACTGCAAATGAATCCTCTTGTTTTAAAAAAAAAAATTTACCAACCATGTTTGTGCTCATTTATCCTTTTACGAGCCAGATATTTTGCATAAGCAATGACATCATGCAAAGATTTACTTATAACGAAAAAAACCGAGATGACCTTTTACAGTATAATGGAATCAATTTCACACCTCGGAAAAATGGCTCGAACTTCCGCTAAATCGGAAAACCCTAATGCTCCAGTAGTCAATCGTCGTGTGCGCGGAAGATCTTTACCGTGGGTCACACCTACTATACCCTGCGAGCAGAGGCTACATTTTCGCGGTATGAGCTGGCGTGCGAAAAGTAGCCTCTGCCGACAACCGTTCAGTTTTCTATCGTGCATGCGCAAAATTCGTCACGCGATTCGCAAGCAACTGGTTCGTCAAATCTGCGTGAGTTTCGCGGGAATCAAACTTGCGAAAACTACCTGCGAACTACTTTCCTCGAGCTGTTTTTCTGTTTCGCCCCCTCTGGTTTTAAGTAATTTAGCCCCAAAATTTCCACGGATCGTCTTTTTTAGGAAAGTATTTTTATGCTATCAACTGTAGTAAGTTCTGTCTGTTTTGCGGGGAGCACATTTTTCTGGCGTGAAAGATAAAATTCGCCGACAACGCTACGCAGAAGTGATGCTTGAAATAAATTGGATGCTGTAGTCTCACGATTGTGTTTTAAACTAATGTTATGAATGAACATAGACAAAACGGTAGTCAGTAAAATTATTTATCGAAAAGTTTTATTCGAAAACCCATAATTTTATCCTTAAAAGCAATTCGCGTAATACTAACTGGATCGTGGATCATTTCACGCAAGTAAAAGCTGCCGAAGACATTAAATGTCAACGGCAAAATCCGTCTCAAGTCGTATAAAACATCTATGAAACAACTATAAATACTTAAATTTCCATTTAAAAACGAAACTTCGTTGACCATTAATGTGCAAGTTGTACCTGAAAATTCTTCAAAAACTTTGCCGCTTTGGTTTGTTTCGTGAAGAAGCCAACCAGGTTGAAGTCCTTGAGGGCGAATCAGTGTTCTGCTTTTTCCACAAAAGAAAATTGATCGATGATTCTTTTGAACATTCCGGTTCCCATCTGTGTCTTAAAACAGTGCATTTAGCCTCGCATTGGGAGGCGACACAACAAAAATCACCGCAGTATCCATTTTCTTTTCCTGGCAAACAAGAACTACCATATGATAAATTAACGATCTTTACACGGTCCCGTAAGAAGCACCGGCAGCAGCTTGTTTTGGTATTCCGACAGCTTTAGAATACAGAGCTTATTTAAGTTGTTGACGACGCTCTTTTAAATACATAAACAGGGATTTTTGAAGTTGTTTTGAACTTTTCCTGTTGCTACGTTTGAGCTGCGTTGATCCGCGTTCGTATGCGAGAATTTGGCGCGAAGGGATGCATGAAGGCGCAATAATGGTCAGCGTTCATTCGCTGACGCAAGACTCACGCGATGCTATAAACCGGTCAAGAACAAGAAAAAACCCGTTTTTTTAATTTATTCGTCCAGATTTCTGGACGGATTTGAACGGTTGTCGGCAGAGGCTACTTTTCGCACGCCAGCTCATACCGCGAAAATGTAGCC